GCCTAAACCACTGATCGTATCGACATGAAACTACCACCATTCGATGCGAAATTTTTCCTAGATGGTTTATGGCTATTTTTAGTTTATTTATTAAATTCCAATGTTCCATTATTAAATTCAATGTTTTTTATTGCTGTTTTACTTTTATGAAAATTTATCCATACGGACTTCACCGCGGAAACATTCGGGGAGGCTTCCTAGAACCTCTAAACGTCAACATCTGTTAAAAACTCGATTTTCGAAATATTTCAATTTTCTTAGCGGGAAGTTAAAAAGAAGAATAATAAAAATATGAAAAAAAATAAAATAATGAAACATCAAATTTATTTTAATTCGTCCAGCAAAGCGGGCGCGAAACGGCTAGTATATATATAAGATAGTTTTTGTTTTTTGTTTTCAGTACTTCTATTCTAGACGCGGATAGTATATCATCTTTGGCTCTTTATAAACATAAATTATTGTTTTTTAAAATAGACCCTCACCACCAGAGCTCAGTCTTCTTAAAATATTAGAACCATCCAACAGAGAGGTATAAATATGAGAAAAAAGGTGTTTAAATTCAGTTCTGCTGATATAATAAAGTTCATTGAGATTTATCGCAGTCATGAGTGTTTATGGGATACCAAAAATGTAAATTATAAGAACCGATGCACGTAATGATGCGCTAGCAGCATTTTCACAGGAATTTCAAGTTGACGGTTTCGGACCGAAGGAAATAACAAACAAAAATAAAAAATTTAAACTAAATAACTTTATTTAATTTAATTTAACACACCCTCACTCACTGCACTCATGTTTGTAAATGAAGAGATAATTGCGTAAGAAATTATTGTACGTGCTGTTTACATCAATAATAGTTTTGAAAGGAAACTTTTCCCATTGATCAAGAATGTTACGTTTTGTTTAGACCACGCAACTCAAAACAAGAAAATGGCATCGTGTAAATGGACCTTTAAATAGGGCTACAAATAAAGCTCAGATGCTTGCAGAGTATGTTTGTATAAATAAATGATAAAAACAACAGTTTAAAGAAATGGCCTTTATTTTATTTCCTTATCGACAATAGAATAAATAAATAAAATAAAATAGCCTTTTATTTCTTTAGTTTCTTTAGTTACATTAGATTTAGTTAGTTTACTTACATACAAACAATTGTTAGTTTTATTAGTAATTAAGTTTGGATCTAACATATTATATTCTACATACTAACATGGATTCTAACATAAATTGGATTTGTTGCTAATTTTAATTTTGTTTTTCATTTAAATTTTAGTTTTTATTTCGATTTTTGTTCGATCCTTTGGAGGGTTTTGGTCATAATCTTCTTCGGTGACCAGCTGGCTTGGATAATGTAAAATTATGGCTATGTGTGAATGTGTGGAGGGTAGATAGCACCATTAGCCAACAGGGCAATACAATATAGTGAATAAAACTTATTTTTTCATTACTTTAGTTGACTGGAGTAAAAACTTTGGTCTACTAATCAATCCCAACAAGAGTAAAGTAATAATTATTGGCAGCCCTTATTTCTCGTCGAGAATTGATTGGGCCAGAGTACCCCCTGTACATATCGACGGTGTGACTTTAAATATAAGCCGTACAGTAAAAAATTTGGGGGTTTTAATTGATCAAAATTTATCCTGGGAGCAGCATGTTAAGATTAGCCGCAAATGTCGGTGCCTCCAGTATCCTTCGACGTCTTAGTATTTTTTTCCCTTTGTTACTAAAACCTATGGCTAAATCTCTCCTCCTGCCATTATGGATACGCCGATTCTTGCTCTTCCGATCTAAGCGAGGAGTTGCTAAATAAACTGGATCGTCTCCAAAATTCTTTTCCGATTTAATTCGGTTAAGAAAGTACGACCAATCTCTGAGTTCCGTAAGCGGTAGGCTGGTTACCCATTGTAGAGGTCATGTTCTCCATCTCTTCCATCCTGTTCAACCCTAAAACTGCTTCCTATCTCAAAAATGATTTCAAATTTTTGGGATCCCATAACAAGCTTCGCTCTTCCGAAAACTATATCCTTGAAATCCCTCATAACTCCTCCTTTCTTGGCGAGTCCTTTAAGGTCTCTGCATTTAAGCTATGGAATTCACTTCCAGTCCCTATTCGCTTAGCTCCTTCTCTATCGTCCTTTAAATTTCTTCTTTACAAACGTTACCTGTCCACATCGTATCCCTAACTTTAATAATAATAGGTACCTACCAACTGTCGTGAGACCGATCTTAGTTTAGGAAATTAAATTGATTCATGTGCACTTTTTATTATTATATTTTTTTTCATGTATCTTTATTAGTTTAGTTTTTTTTTTTCCTTTTATTTTTTTTTCTAAACAACTAAATTACATTTGTAAATTTGCACTTTTGCCTATCTTATATTAATATTTTTTCTACGTGGTTGTGGAAGAGATTGCTCGAAAGCGATAAGGCCGAGTGCTTCCTTTTATTTATGCATTGTCTATGTGGGTGTTAAAAATAAAAATACTTTGAAAGTACCTACATAAACTATGTTAAATATTTTTGTGGTAATAGATATATAATTAATATTGTAATTCTCTTAAGACAAAAGATAGTACGTACTTGTTTTAACTATTCAACCATATTGTATTACAAAAGTGAAAGCTAATTAATCAAAAGTGATTGTTTCAGTCTCATTGTTGTCAAAACGCCAATAAAATGAGCCGCTCACTTCCGCTCTTGATTGATCGACTTAATGATACCGGCTCGTTGTTGTTCAGAAGCAAGTACTTTTCATTTGTGTCAATTAACTACTGTAATTATCACTCGATTGCCTGAAAATTGGTTTTACATCGATCATATCGATTATGAAGGAATTGTAGCAACTGTAGTACATTTTATGATTATCTGACCTATTTTATACTCTTGATTGCGGAATCATTTTTGCTTAATGTAACACGCAATAGAGTCGATATTATATCTCACCTTATGAGTTTGGCTTATTTCTTTATCTAGAAAAAGCACTGATATTTTATACGTACCTACGTAATAACAGCCACCAGTTTTTTTTTAATGTGTCCCATTTTTACTCAAGTTGTTATTATATATCGGAGCCGCAAAAGTGACGTGTAGCTTGTAGTTACGTAATACAAAACTATATATCTATTGAATGTAAATGACATTTATTTTATTGTTCGTAAGAATTTTTTATTATTCTTGAAGGAATTAGGGATAAATATAATTAGGTTTGCAAGATTGTATAAATGAATGGTGGCAATCAAATACCATTGCGACACATTACTGCAGTATGTACTTGACCTATTGTCTCACAAAGGCATAGTTTTTATCTGCATTTCCGAGAACCCCCTAACCGAAAATAGCTTAATATATTCGTATCCGTTAAAACAAACATACAGTGCACATTAATGCCTAGCAATAAATTCGTTTAAGTAGCTACGTTGGTTAGTTAATTTATAGCGGTAACGTGTACCTTTGATATACTAATGTTGTGTCGAAGACATTGCGATATTAAGAAGGACAATGCAATAAATCCGTGTTTCCGTGTGTCAGGAACAAAGTACTTATATCGCGGGAAGTGGGCATTCCTCCTATTAGCATACGTTTCTAGAACGCTTATGACACGCCAACAGCCGACGATAAGAAAATCGAACACATGTGAATTACCGCTTGGTATTATTATTTTCATAATAATCACAGTGTATGTGTTGAATATAAATAATTTCACTGACTATCTTATATACGAGTATACATTCTAGCGGCCCGTACCGGCTTCGCACGGGTGTATACATATTTATTTTTTAAACATTTTGTCATATACGTACATGTACAGGACATACGAGTACCTAAATAATAATGTATTTAGCAGTAGTGTATCGCTGGGTCCCTTTGTGTACGGGACTTGATGAAATAAAATGATAACAATAAATGGGAATGACATTAACGGGTAATGTTTAAAAACATTTAACTGATGTTTAGAATATATATCCTTATATTTTTCTTGCAATTAAAATAGCCTATATTAATCAGTGATAATAAAGTTTTCAACCTATTCATTACAAACATACTTACATACAAATCTTTCCTCTTTACAATATTAGTATATTAATATGTATATATATATCTTAACTTAATAAATAATTTAAAAGTAAACTTAACTAAATTTTCATAGTACAACGTTGGCGGGTAAATTATGATTGGCCTTCTCTGGGAATTGGATGAGTCTCTGCCGATTATCTCTCTGTCAAATAAAGAAATAACATTGAAATGTCTTTTGAAAAAGGCTTTCTAAAAAAATATCTCTTGAACAAATGGATTTAGAAATTACAACGAGGTACAGTAAATTCAGCAGTTCAGTCTCCTCTTTGTTGCAAAATTTGTTTCGTTGTCGCTGTTACATTCATCTAAAGTCAAGCTGTTTTACAGACCACAACTACGTGGGAAGGAATTAATGCAGGAGGCATGACGCCGACTAACAGACGAGGTACAGATGGGTGGGTATTAGGGGGTGTGGGGAGAGCAGTGAAAAGTGCAACGTTGTCGTAGTAATTTATTGCAGCTTCACGCGCCACGACCGACGACGCGTTGACGCCACGTGCCGTTGTCTAGCGGAGTCAGCCACTGCAAATAGGGTATTATGTGAGATGAACTATGTTATGAAATCTTTTTATTGCAGTTTTGAATATATACGTGAACATTCGATTACGTCATCGTTTAATGTTTATCGCATGTGCGATAAATGATGAATGGGCACAGATAAATAGTGGAATCATTAGCAGGTATTTGTGATTTAATCAATCTTTGTTTAAACAGCAAAAATCAACACTTGAAAATTAATATACTAGCTATACCGTGAATCAGTATTTAAATATGAGTAATATTAAGTCATTACAACGCTGCAAAGGATTTTTTTTAAATATATTCCTTGTTGTATATAAAATAAATATAAATAGTCACATATTCAAACCTTGTTCATATTTTTACTAGGTGTTTTTATTCATGCCAACTTATCCTAATAAAGTTATTTACAAAGTTTTATTTGTTGTAGGAAGCCTTACTTTTTCCAAAATATAGTTTATCCACATAAAAATATACTCTTTTAAATTGACAATAACACTGCTCAGTACCCAACTCCTAGCAAATTTTGTCGTGAAGTAAATATTTGCTGTGTGATCGAACCAATCTAAAACCGTTCCATCGTGCCACACGTAAGCACCTCGCAGAGACTCAGGTGCCTCTAAAACCAAATACACTGGAGTTTTGGCTGCCTCATCAGTGGACAAGAATCCAAGTTTCATAGTCATATCAGTTCTGACGAAGCCTGGATGAACAGAATTTACGCTGATGTCCTTTAACTCTAACTCCTTTTGCTGTATCATTGTTAGTGCACACAAGGCCACTTTTGATACTCTATAGGCAGCTACACTACCTATATCAACTAAATCATCTGGGTTAAAACTACCGTTCTTTTTTGAATCGAGATACCAGTCGACGAATTCGTTTATGTCAGATATTTTTTAATCCTTTTTCGATAGCCTGTCTATCCAGCATTTGTTTCTGATGTTGGACAGGTGTCCACAGTTACTGGATACATTTAATATCCTTCCATTATTTCTTACCATAGGGTATATCAGTTCCTGCATGGTCAGAACGCCCCTATAGTTAATGTCGATCACTTTCTCTTCCTCTTTATAAGAACTAAAGACAACACTGTTGGCATAACCAGCATTATTTATGAGAATATCTAAACCTCCATGTTTCGATGCTATGTGATCTCTAAGCGCGATAACACTATCTCTATTCGTGACGTCAAGTTGATGATATTCGGGTTGAAGTCCAAGTTTGTTTAGTTTATTGATAGCTGCTTTACCGAGGACTTCGGAACGAGAGGTAAGGTAAAAAATGCCGTCGAATTTTTGACATAAAGCCTTTACTATGGCGTATCCAATACCTTTATTGGAACCAGTGACGAGTGCAACGCGAGACATGTTCGCAACCGGTCGCTGTTATATGAAAACTGGATTAAATGTAATAAAAAAAAAATTGTGTATTTACGATAATTATAGTGATTAACGCATCTACTGTCAATTAAGTAAATTATAATTCCTGCGAGAATTAATAATAATTAATATTACATTTAAAGAAAACACTTTTTACCGGATTGAAGTTATGTATTATTATAAACTTTTAATTATTTTACATAATAAACAAAACATCCGACGTTTCGCGAGCTTTACAGCACGTGTGGTGAAGATGAGTGAAGACAAAAGGTGTTGAATGTCAAAAAGAAGAGAGCCCAACGTCTTTGTGATGCTGCCCACCTCGAGGAGGAACTACAGTACGTCAAACAGGTGCTACACCGAAACATGATACGCATCCCCCGGCTGCATCACATCACAAAAACAAGACACAAATAGTTCCCCGCCAGCCAGCCTACCTGCCATATGTACCTAAAGGGAGTTACAGATAGAATTAACCGGATCCTAAACCGAGCTTGTATTAATACAATTTTCAAGCCGCACAAGAAGATTCAGCAATTCCTAAGACAAATGAAAAGTAACATCCCATTGCAAGATACAGGTATATACAAACTGGATTGCGACTGTGGCCTGTCTTACATAGGGCAAACTAAACGCAATATCAGACTCAAAGAACACATTACGGACATGTGTTCTTTGAGTCTGCGACTCACAAAATCAGCAATCTGTGAACACACACTAGATAGGCCTAATCATTACATACGCTTTGACCAACTGAAGTACTTTCGAAAGAAAAAAGATTCTTGCCAAGATTGGTACGCAAAGCCATTGAAATCAAAAAACACCCCAATTTCAATAGAGAAGACGGCCTAAAATTTCGGCAACTTCGATGGCGATTTCTGTAATTGATAATCATTAAATAGTGTACAATTAATTGCTGATTGATTTATTATATATATTTTAAGCACCATTTTTAATGAAATAAGGTGGTAAGATACCTCAATATTGAAAGGTATGTAATATTGAAATTATATGGTAAGCCAACTGCAACTTGCATAATATAACAGTCTAAATAAATTTTAAATAAGCATAAATGATGTGGTTTTACATTTCAAATTTGTAGCTTAATTGGATTTATGTTTATTAATTGAGGGTAAACTGGATATAAATGTACAATTTACCTAATCTGATGTTAGAATTACGAAAAGATTATATAAACGTTTGTCCTAGTTCTAGGCCAAGGACATTCAGGGCTACTGAAATACGTGAAAATTATAATTTATGTTTGTATAGAGTATAAACATGGTAATAAAAATTCGACCAAAGACCCATTAACTACATTTGTATTGATTACTACTGTAAAGATTGAATCTTAAGCTTTTTAAGCAAAGCAAATGGAGAATTTGGTTTGTTTGGATAACCTTTAATGAGTTATGGGTTGGCCACAGTCCGTTTAAATTTTCACCGACGTTAGATTTGTATTTAATACCCAAAACGGATACCGAGGTCTAAACACAGTTTTTGTTATTAAGTTACGAAGGAGATAACCAGTATTGAGAAAATTTTAATTCATCAAAATGATTTACATGAAATTGAAGAAGCAGGGTTACAATTAGTACGAGAGACAGGGCAATCTAATTTATACAGCAATCAGTGACGCCGCTAACTCTCTTCAAAGGTAACAATGAGCGAGAGTATGCTGTATCTCTTTTCTGGAGATTCACAGTTCTATTGCTAAACGGCACACAATACTTTATCGTATTTAGAAGCTTGAAATTAATTTAATCTAAATACAGCAGGTTTTTATATAAAATCGTATTATTCCAATAACGAACATAAAACAAAAAATTCAAAATATCTATTATTAAAACAATATTTATTATTTAAAAAAAAATGCTTTTGAGGTTCTATTCAAGTTCTGATTAAGGAATTAACGGGACGTAGACGGGACGAGAACTGTCAATAAACGGAGGACGGTGAGGTCCTTCTTTTAGATCTCGCAGTTTTTTTATATTACAAAATGTTTGTAAGGTTCTGCAACATCACGCTCCTCATCACATTAATATTATTAATAAAAAGCAATAAATAAAAAGAATGAAAATAACTAAGATTTTTTTTACTAGAGCTGTCTATAGTCGAAATAAATCAATCCCGATTTATATAATAAAACTAGTGGACCCCACAGACGTTGTCCTGCATGATATTTAAAGCGATAAGGATATTAAGCAAAGTATGAAAGTACCGACTGCAGTGCCATCTGCCGGGCTGATTTGTGAATCTAAACCATTCCCAGATCCCCTTGAACACACACAAAAAATTTCATCAAAATCGGTCCAGTCGTTTGAGAGGAGTTCAGTCACATACACACGCACAGAAGAAATATATATATTAAGATAGAATAGTTGATTGTAAGTAAGAAAGAAAGAAAGAAAGAAAAACTTTATTATGCACAATATACAAGATATTTAGATAAAGTAAAGTGCACTGGCCCCCACACTAGGATTCCCTGTGTTGTGGGCAGCCAGTCTCTTCCTTTTGACACCGAAACAGTATTTTAAAAATTATATTAATTATTTCTACACATTTATATTAAAACTATTTTTGCACAATAAGAATATTTTCAGTATCAGAATAGGACAGGTTAACAAGATATCGTTTGAGATGTTTAGTAAATGTATGTAATGTGATTTTTGAAATGTTCGTGATAATTTTGTTTTTAATGAAGTGGTTAAAGATGAAAGGGCCTCGGAAGGAGAAAAAGCGTTGGGCGAAGAAAGTGCGAGTTTTGGGTATCTTATATATGGGTTTGCGTTTTGTTTGATGCGGTGCGGTGGGTGTTTGTTTCCAAAAAAGTCTGCATATTGCTATTAAATATAATTGTCTCACAGTTAAAAGTTTTGTTTCATTGTACAATTTTTAAGTTGAGTAGCGGAAAGGTTTCTTATATGAAATCTTAAGAATAGCACGTTGGGTGCGCTCAATTTTCAGCATTGAAGACAATGCCGCTCCACCCCAAACCGATATGCAGTAAGATAATATCGACTGGCATAATGCAGTATACACTATCTTGATTGTATGTGGATCAGCAGGCTTTCTAAGGCGTTTGAAAACATTTATAAGTTTGCGAACTCGAGAACATAGGTAGTTACTTTGAGGGCCCCAACAAAGCCTTGAGTCAATAATTAATCCCAGGTATTTGGTTGTTTTAGTGGGTTCCAGGAGAGGACAGTTGCAGTTGCTATGAAGGTTCAAACATGAGTGTAATTTAATAGGCGGAACAGGGTTTTGTTTGCTGGATTTCGATATGTGAAAACATATGTATTTGGTCTTAGACGTATTTAAGGATAGGAGATTTGTTTGTTAAGCATTAAATGCACCGTTATTTTCAATTTTAACTTCCTATTTAATTGTGTCTGTTTAAAAAAGGAGATAAGATGATAATTGAAAACTAAACGTATTCTATTTGGTTAAAAATGTTATTCTATTAATAAAAATCATGCTGATTATTATTTTTTTTTTTTATATAATAGGGGGGCAAACGAGCTTGCGGGACGACCAAAAATGGCAGTCTACGCAGCCCATAGACACCCATTTTTAGTGGGTGCGTTGCCGGCCTTTGAGGGAGGAGTAGGCTCGCTTTTTGAACATTTGGAGGTCGTATCTCTGAGGGAAGACCCCCCCCGGGAGCCGATTCCACAGTTCGCTAGTTCGCAAAAGAAAATGCCTTGTGAAGCGGACTGTGGAAGACCTCCAACCATCAAGATGATGCTGGTGAAATTTAGAGGTCGTTCGGCTCGTACGGTTTTGAAAAGAGGCAGGAGGGATCAACCCAAACAATTCTTCCGAACACTCTCCATAAAAAACTTTGTAAAAAACGCAAAGAGACGCAATGTCTCTGCGTAGCGAGAGAGAATCAAGCCGATCAGTAAGACATTGGAGATTGACAATTCGACAAGCCCTTCGCTGAATTTGGTCAAAAGGAAGAAGCTGGTATTTGGGAGCACCGGCCCAGAGATGCGAGCAGTATTCCATATGAGGTCGTACTTGAGCTTTGTAGAGCTGCATACGTTGCACCTCAGTGAAATACTGCTTAGCCCTACCCAAAACACCCAGCTTTTTGGAAGCCAGTTTGGCTTTTTCTTCCAGATGACTGCGAAATTGGACTTCTTTCGAAATGCCAACCCCAAGGATACTGAGGCTGTGTGACGAACTAAGGAGAGCGCCTTCAAATTGAGGAGACACGACAAAAGGATCTTTCTTGGCAGAAAACGAACAAACCTGAGTCTTTGTAGGATTAAACTTAACAAGGTTGTTACTACCCCACACAGAAACCTTCTCCAGAATCGACTCAATTTCGAGAACAAGTATGTAACGGCTCTCATCGACTTCAGATCGAGACATGTTCGGATGGCCGGAATATAATGTGTCGATGGTGCTGTCGTCTGCATAGCAATGGATGTTGTCGATATTCAACAGGTCATTGATATGCAGAACGAACAGGGTCGGCGAAAGGACACAACCTTGCGGAACGCCTGCATTGATGGGTCTAGGATTGGAGCACGCTCCGTCAACTAGGACTTTAATGCTACGTCCTACAAGAAAATTTGCCAGCCATCGGCATAAGCCATCGGGCAAACCGTATGACCGAAACCGTAGTTTCGAAAGAAGCGCCCCATTTAAAGAAAAAACTGTTTGACCGGATTGAAGTTATGTATTATTATAAATTTACAACTATTTAACATAATTTTAAATTTATCCGACGTTTCGCGTGCTTTACAGCGTGCGTGGTCACGGTGACTGAAGACAAAAGATGTTGGATGTCAAAAAGTATCACAGCTGCAGAGAAAGTTGCCTTATCTGTATTTATTACCCCGGAGTTGGTATCGACTAAAAGATGGAGGGTTTTGGCAAAAATGGCTCACAGTGTCCTCTATTTTCGCGGATTGTTTTTCTTGAGATTTTAATTTGGATATTATTGGATCCCAGGTGTTTGACAATTACATAACTTC